GCCCAAAAATATGCTTTAAGATACTATTTTGCATTTTTGTGAAGGTCTACTCAGTATTTCTAGAGAAACCTCACACTCCCGTTCTGACGTTCTTCAGGACCAGAAAGGGCGAAGGCCTGGCGGGGTGAGTAAGGGACTCTGAGTGACACGCACAGGGGATGGTGCCAACGTGGGGGCCACGCTGTGTGGTCACCCGGGGAACCCACGGTTTCCATCTCACTTCCCCTTTGTCAGGGGAAGTCAGGGAGACAAGTGTATGTCCCCGGACAGTGGCCCTGAGGGCTGAAATGGGGGCTATTCTGTTTTATAAAAGTACCCTTGTCTCCCCTGTACCCAACCCTTCCGGATGAGAAGGTGCCAGAAGGAGGATGAATACACCGGGAAACATGGTGAAGTTACATGAACTAGAAGAAGACAGACCGTCTGCAAGCGGAGGAAGAGCAGCGATGACGGAAGCCGAGGGGAGCACATCTGGACTTCAGGGGTCTATGGGGAAGAGGGCGACCTTGAAGACCCCTCACTGTCTTTCCAAACTGCCCAGGAGCCTTCCTGAAGATGGGGAACACCTGCTGTGGTCTCCCCAAACTGCCCAAGCACCCACATTCGCCTGCCTGCAGGGCCTGCCATCCCTCCACGGAGGACTCACAGTGTGATCGCCAGTGTCTCTTTAAAAAAGATTTGATTTATTTTTAGAGAGAGGAGAGGGGAAGGGGAAAGAGAAGGACGGAGACCTCGACGGGCTGCCTCTTGCACTTGGCCTGGACCAGGGACGGGCACATGCCCTGAATCACACCAGCGGCCTTTCGCTTTGCAGGATGACTGATGCCCACCAGGCTGAGCCCCGCCGGTCGGGGGCTGCCGTGCTTCTCAGCCTCACTCCGAAGTCCGAGCTTCCCCACCCTGTTCCCACAGCGGTCACTTGCTCATCTTGCTGGGCTGACTTCCCTGGGCACCCTGGGTGAACAGAGGGACTGGGCTCCACTGTGAAACTCAACCAGGAAACTCAAAGGCTCATGGGCTGGCAAGGAGGCCACCCTGCATGGTGTTGCCTGTGCCTCTCACCGCCGTGGTGCCATTTGAGGAGCCTAACAATTGTCAAGTAGGTGTTCACTCGTCTCCCTGGGAGACTTGAGGCTTTCATCTTCCTTAAGAGACTTTCACGTGTTTTGGGAAGAGCACAAACAGCTCACGTAGCTCTCAAGTGACTGTGGAGATCCCTCCAAAATGAAGCTACCCTGGGTACTTTGGCATAGCTTTCTGGGGAGAGGATCACCACCTTTTTATTTATGAACAGCCTCGGGGCAGGATTCTTACCATGAGAATCACCTGATTAGGAAGGCTGGCATGAAACTGGCGCCCTCTGCAGCTAACATGATAGGGGATACCCGTCTGTCCCTGGGAGCGTTCAGGTCTACTTCAAGGCCATGGCTGTTGTGGAGGATGCATCATGCTACCCTGTGTCCTCGAAGACCAAGGTGAAGCCCCTGTAACTGCTCAGACATCCTGCTTGGATTAAGGCTTCAGACCCAGTGGGAAGGTCAATGCAGACACTTGAGGACCACTGGCCCCCCGAGGTGCATCCTCAGGGGACGGGACCAGGACCCTGAGGGCACAGCTGAGGTCAGAGCTGCAGGGGTGCCTTTCCAGGCGTGGAGTGCTGTTCACAGTCATCCTAGTTCGTGCTGTATGAGACAAACTGAGCCGATCTGGCTGCAGCTACAAGGCTGGTCGAGCAGTGGGACAGAGATGACACAGGCGCGGTCCGCCTCTCACCCGCAGCACAGGAGTCTGCGGGGCTACCCCTTCCCTTCGGAGACTCTGAGTCTGTACACACAGCACGGGAGTTCTCTGCCAACACAGCTCTCTCTTCACATGTTAGAGCTCCTCGGAGTAAAGACAGCTGAAGCAGCTGTCTCTGTGTATCATGTCTGAATTCTCTGGAAATGTTTGCATGCTTTTGCTATTTTCTTGAAATGTTTGTATGGCTTTGGTAAATCTGTCCTCTTATCGTAGATCAAGAAATCCCTTTTATATGATAAAGACTTTTTGTTTAAATACACACTGGCTAAATGTGATCTGGATATTTTCTTTTACATCCCAAAGCACCGTTAACTCTCGGCAGCCCAGCTGCTGGCCTGCTCCACATTTTGTTCTCCGTTCATTCTGTTATACGTCAGCTGAAATCCTCAATTCACCATAAAGACTACATTTAATTTCCTTACCGCCGATGATGGTATTTCTTACTAAGTCTTGAGTGGAGGAAAAAGTGCTATCAGGAAGTGTTTTACTTCACTTCAAAGATTACAAAAGTAATCAAAGTCATTATAAAAATTCAAACAGAAACACTATCGAGTAAAGAAAAAAAAGTCTCCACTCTCTCCTCTCTTGCAAAATTCCAGTCTCTCCAACATATAAACATACATAATGTACTGATATATGCTTTCTCCTTGTTGCCGTTTTCCCTCTCCTGTGTAAGAAAGCACTAAGGCTATTCCAAGTCCTTTGTTTTAGGAAAGAAATGTTTATATGGGTAAAGCAAAAAATATGGTTTCGGATGAGACATGAGGACAATGGCCGTGGGGTTTCCTGGGAGGATCGAACCTTAAACCTGGTGTTTGTGGCCTTAGCAAGGATTTCTCAGGCTTAAAGAGACCATACACGTATGGACAATAGATGGGTGAGTGTGTGTGAGACACGGGAGGGCCTCCCCCGAACGTACTGCCCTGTGCAGGGGGCCCAGGGCGTGCACGGTCTGGAAAGAGGTAAGAGCCCATGACACGGGAGAATGAATACAGGACTGGACCAGTGGGGAGCGGACTGGAGCTGGGTGCAAGATCACCGTGGAAAATATTTAGCTGTATATCCTATACACAGATTAGCTTGCGGAGAAAGATCTGTAAATTACAGGCACACACCCCTCTATCTCTGGCAAAACTATATTAGTAATACCTTAAATCTGTTTAACTTTCCATTTTGTTAAAAGCTTTTACATACACTATTTAGCTTAATCCTCACACAAGAATGTCACCCAAGGTTACACTGCGGCAGAGAATGAGATTTATGCAAGATACAGGATGGTTAAGTGACAGGACAAGTACTCTTTAAAAAAGATATGGATTCCCTCCCCTCACACTGTCCTTGGAGTGTGTACACTCAGCGGCCTGACACCTTCACCTATGACAGGTACGTACACTGCTCTTCTGCCAAATTGTAGCTGTAAGGGCTTGACACACGAGTGACCCGTGGATACTCCATCCAGTGCATTTAAAATGTCAACAAGTCTGAAGGGCATTAAAAGCTTAAGATCATTAAAACATTGCACAGACTGATTTTTATTAGTTCAAATCTCAGTTTCCCTTTTTCTCCCCCTCTCTGTCCCTCTCTCTCTCTGTGTCCTTCCTTCTCTAAATGTAAAGTTTATAATTTTAAACAAAAGAGGAACAAAGGGGCTCCTGCTTATGACCAAGATGGAGTGAGAGGGGTCAGATTTGTTCTTGGACCTGGAACAGTGAAAAAGCTGGAGCACGCCTGTGTCTCCCATTGTCGGATTTGGTGCAGGGGACAGTGACCCCTTACCAAGGAGAAACAAATGAGGAGAGCCCCACGAAGGCCCAGCTGGCTCTGTGAGGCACATTTGGGCCTCGCAGGGAAGGGACCCACGTGGAGCCCTGGAGGAGACAGAGCCACCAGAGCCCAGAGAGGCCAAGGAGTCCCAAGCTCCCAGCACAGAGGGCAAGAGAGCCGCACGGAGATGGGGGGGGCCCATGCTGCAGCACAGCGCCCGCCCCACCGGATGTGCGAGGAAAGCTCAAACCTCTGGAGGGAGCAGAAGGGACAGCCACCTAGTTACTTAGGTCTACGGATATTCACAAAAACGTACGTGAAAACGGAGATGTTTGTGTACATTAATGTTTACCTTAACACGCTGCTACTGTCGGTGGTGCTAAGAATTACAGTAACAAGTCAGTGAACTGCTGACATTTCATACTTTAATTGTCACTGGTCACATCATACAGTGGCAGTAGAAGTCGCTCTTCACAGGCACATTCCGTGAGTGGGAACGCATCCCCCTGCTTCACTGAGGGGCCCCTTCCATCTCTCCTGGCAGCTTGGTGAGAACCCAGGACCGGAGTGTCTCCAGCTCCCTGGCGCTGAGCTCGTGCGAGAGCCCCGGGAAGCTGTGGTAGTTCACGCGCACCCCCATGGACCGCAGCGTGACGCTGGTCTCAGCCCCCCAGGAGGGGAGGACGAGATCGTCCTCCGTCCCATGACACTGGAGCAGGTCAGGGAGCTTGCCCTGCCATGTCTGAAGAGCCTGGAGAAGAGGACACGCAAGGGGGATGTTTGAGAGCTGCTTTCGTGACAGCAGGGAGGGCAGGAGAACCCCAACTGTACCGCCGCCTCCACATGTGAAGGGAACGAAGAGGCAGGGTCGCCGCGCCCCCACTGGCGGGGACTCCGGCCCCGCTGGGCGTGACCTGTCCAAAACAGCCTGGCATTTCCCAGAGAAACTGTGTCTCTCTTTAGCTTATCCTTTCACCCAGGGTGGAAGGAGGGAGGAACCCAGAGCCAGGGACGATCAGGGAAAAATTATGGCCTCATTCTCATTGCTGTGCCTGCTATTTCTGCTGTCGGCAAGGAAGCCGCAACTCTGCAACATGTCATGCTGACAAATGACAACTCTGCTGTGGAGCAGCCATCGGCCCTACGGTGGATGGTTCTGACTTTGCACATGATGGAAGCAAGCTCAGGCACGATCATGTGTAGGCTTGATACATATAAAGGACACACACCCACCACACACTTGTTTTTACCCTTTCCCTTCAACGCCTTGCGTAACCCTGTCTTTGCACAGGACAGTCCCTGGATGTTCAGGACCAGCTGGGATAAACCACGTGACTAATTTGGCTGTGAACAGTTATTATCAGTTTTGTTTCAGTTTCAATGTGCATTTCGTGTTTTTTTTTTCTGTTGCTCTTTTTTTAAAAGCTCCCACTCACCTGGTAAACAGCGGAGACTTTATTCAGGAAGCTGGAAAGCGCGAAGACTCCGGCCACGTCTTGGTGCTTTCTGTACGCCAGGTGCATCGCCATGCACCCTCCCATGGAAAACCCTCCTAAAGGAAGCGAAACGCACTCTCAGAAGCAGCAGAATACACACAGCAGTAGTTCGGAACGAGTTATATCTATGCTGGCCCTCCATGAATTTGTTTTTTAAATATATGAAGACCTTTAAAGCAAGCTAGCGCTAGTTTCGTCTGCTTTAGAGCTCACAGAAAAAAACAGCTGTAAATAACACCGCCCTGCTACGTCATCAATCACCGGTAGAGATTTGTAATGAAAGGAGCTAGAGTTGAACAAAGCAACCAATCCCATTCACCAAGGAAAAGAACTGATGACTAAATGAGTCATAGGATGTGTTTTTAAATTTCTAATGTTCACGTACAGTTTTTATACTTATGAGTTCTCACACTGCAACTAGAATTAATAACATGAAGCCGAGCCCTTAGAGACCATAAATCGGAATTTACTACAAACTCCTTTATGGGTGAAGGGAACGTAAGCCTCAGGGGATCAGATGACCTACTTAGACTGGAGCCCTAATTTCAGCTGCAAAGCTAGGGCTGTGGGAACCCAGATTGCTTGCAACAGAGTTGAATGTACTCTCTACCATCTTCTGATATTTATTAAAATATAGTTACTTTATCTAGGGCAGGCTGGTCATTATTTTGGACCCGAGATACAAATGTATGAGTCAAGATCACCAGCCTTGGGAAGTTTAGATTTTTAAAAAGGGCGTAATATGTGAATAATTACAGTGTATGGTAGCTACAACATCTGTGGTTTTCAGCGTATCAGAAGGAAATGATGGGGTCTCGCCAGTAGCAGGGGCTCCCCGGGATGAAGACAACTTGAAAGCCTGTTGCAGAATAACTCCAAACCACTCCCAGATGCATGTACAGCTAATTAGGCGTTCCCGAATGTGCTTGGCGGGGGAGTAGGGGGCACAGATATCTTACAGTTGTGTGTGAACTTTGCGTGTGTGCATCAGATTCCCTGGAAAGTTAAAAGCCACGGGCATCATTACCCATGAGTCTGCCTTAGTAAGTCTTTGGCGTGTTCCATTAGAATATGAAGAGCTTACTGGAGAGATTAGTTCATTTTCAGTAAAATTGGATGGCTGAGCAAGAACATTTCCAGGGTTTCCATCAAGTTTTGAAACCTATTCTTTAATACTTACTAATCAATTGTAAAAGTTAAAACAGCAAGGACTTCAAAATTTTCAGTTATTATTAGTACAGAAGTCGCCTTTCAGTTTGGAAACAAGACTCCACATCTTTCAGAACAGACCTTTAGCCTTCCTTTAAGTTTACAGAATCTCACTTCTACTTCCTTCATCTCCTCCAGTCTACTGACTCTTTTATAAAAGTCCAAGACATAAAGACACCGTTCACCAGACTACCGGGTTCATGCGAGCAGGACATTTTTGCCTAGAACAGTGCCTGGCGCATAGTAGGCGCTTAGTAAGCACTGAGTGAATAAGTGAACAAATGTCAACCACAGTTCCATAAGCGTATTTCCGCAGGGAGATGCATTTACACCATCAGCCTGACAAGAACAACAAGTGAAGAAAACCCTTTCCCACACAGGGAATATCACTGTGAACAACCATGGAAGCATCCTGCAGGCATTCAACCCCATGTCAATTCTCCTAATTTACAAGGAAGAAAACACACTCACTGAAATCTCACTACTTAAAAATTCAGTGCGAGTCCCTTACGCACTTGGACTCTCAGGAGGTAATCTGCCACTTGTCACCAGTGATCGCTGACAGTCCAGTTGCCTGTAGTCTGGGACACTACTATGAAAAGGGACTTTGTGTATTTTTTTTCCCCAGTAGAAAAATTTAACACAAAGGACTAGTTATTTGAATTCAATTTCCATCTACATGTCTAAAATGCAATATAAAATATACAGTTCAATAAGTAAACACCAAATAGTAAACTCATTGTAGGTCATGGTTATAATGTATATTTATAGTTGCTGGCAAGGTATTAAAATGTCAAGCGTTAACATTTCAACATACATTTAAGATTAACGAGCTGAATAAAACATGTTAAAAAATAATAAACCTAGCTTTTATGAACTCCTTAAATAAAATAAAACAGAAACAATATATAAAAAACTATAGTGGGGAAAAAAATAAGTTAATCTATCTGAAGCAAAATCCAGAGGAAAAATAATTCAGGTTTACTCTCAGTTGCATAGGATTTTTAAAATGGAATGAAATCTGCCCTCCCTCCAAATTTCAATAATCCTTCCACGTAATTTATATAATTATCCTTCAGACTGAACTGTGATAAAGTCTCAAAAGATTTGGGAATGTGTATTTCTGTGTGTCTTCTCTCAAATGCAATGGGTGGGATAAGCATCTGTCACCTCCTGTGCAGGGCTGTTGGAGGAGCAGTTCCATGGCTTTACATTCTGGTCATTACTGAAGGGACACAAGCTGTCTCATTAGTACATATATAAATGGAAAGGATGCAGGACACCATCACTCTTAAGCGTTAGCTCCCAGAAAGAACTGCAGAAGAACTTGGCATAAGGCCAGGACCAGGGACCCAGGAAGTTCTGGTGGTTCGCTTCCTCTTGGTAACTCCATCTGTCCCTTTAGTTTAGTTTTTGAACAAGGTTGGTTTATAAGTATCATGTAAAGTGACTCTGCCACACGGACAGAAATAAATAAAATAGGTCGTGTAAAATCTCACTACTTATACATAACTTGGACATTTTTAAAATTTAGTTTTTTGTGTAATACTGATTTGAAAGGCTTTCAAAAGATCACAAAACTCAGTAATTATCATTTTATTCACTGCACACACACTAACTAAATGCCTTCTATGTGTAGAGTATATACAGTATTTAATGGTTACATTATAGTCATTCCTATTCACAGACCATAATTTCCTCAACCACGTTCTTCATGACGGGTGGATGTTTGGAGCATCCATGGAGATCACTCAGGTATAATTCCAGAAGCACTTGCTTCTCACGGCTTCCAAATTCTGGCCGTATGCTCATATGGGCAAGAGTCTTACAATCTGGTCATATTATCTGTCAGGTTCCACGCACGCCAGATCCCAGTTAGACCTAAATTAGGTGGGTTGTCTCTTAACAACAAATTATCACCACCTAGTGGCGGGAAAGGGAACCTCATTCTGTACACAGTGCTTGACTGAGGCAGTGGATCTGGGTTCCAGTCCCAGTTCTACAGAATTCCAATCTATTAGCCAGCAATCTCTTTGATTTTTAGTTTCATCACACCTGAAATGAGAATAAATTCCCATTTTATCCCTTACAAGGATTGAGAGAGATTATGCATGAAAACAACCTGAATAATTTAAATACTATCTATATATGAAACATGATATTTAATGGCAATTTAAAACCTGCCAAATGTAACGTAGATGTCAACTATTTTAGTAGTGTTACTACCACATATACTTTCCAAGCACAACAGTACACACGAGGAAAATGGTATGTACCGTTCTACTCTGACGGTTCACATTACACAGAAATGCGCCAAAAGGAAAGGAAGGGCTTCAACGCAGACACTGACAGGGGGGCGGCCGTGCTAAGAAACTGTTCGCATTCTTCACGCTGGGCACTCTCGCCGGGTTACTCAACCAGAACAAGACGGGATAATGTAACATTAACTGTATCTCGGAGCACAGGCCTTGAACCCAGGTTTCATTTATAACCATGTTGCCAACAAGGAGAAAGTGATTTAAAGCCACCGTTTTACTGCCTGTGCTTCCCTTTTAGCATTACCCTCTGTAGAGTCATGTTGGGTAGAGACGTATAAAAGTAAACACACTTCTTGTGTCTGACATTCTTCATGGACAGGGGATTCTTAATTTGCTCATAATTTCATGATCAATCCAGCTCATTATACATAGTTATATTCAAAAATAAAATCCCTTCACCAAAATAAATGTTCTGTACCATACACAACTGAAACATCCAACCTCATTTCTGTATGGATTCTAGCACATTTCTGTACTAGAATCTCTCTATAGAAATAGAGAGATTTCTCTATTTCTATAGAGAGATTCTAGTTCATGCATTTGATGACTACAGAAAAAAGGGTATTGAGTAGGAGAAAAAGCTTATATATATAAAGGCACATTATAGCCTCTTGGAAACAATGACCACTAAGTCACTGAACAAAAGTTTACGAATACACTATTCCTGTGATAATGAACTCTGAAAAGTGTACTGTTCATAAAGTCAACATTCTATTTTGTACTTTATCTTCATCACGGCAATAGCAGTTTAAACATATTTCTAAAACTTAGGCTAATTAAAAATAGTTTTAAAAGTTGAAATGAAAAATCTCATACTTGGAAATGAAACACTGGGTTCTCAACTTGTTATCATTAAAATGAAAGTGAAGTGAAATGTCCTGAGCTATTGTTTATGATTCTAGTATCTTTGAAAACCTTAGTATGTAAAGTTTATTTGAAACTATGAACAAGTCAAATGACAACACAAGTGCTTCTCAATAACGTTCCAAGTACATACAGTTCAACACACAGAAAGGTGGAAAAAGTTGAAATCACGGTATTGGAAGGTCTTACCTACTAATATCCGATCCTTCTGGATGCCACTTCTCACCTCGTCATCGATCACATCCGTGAGCAACTGACACATCGCATCGATGGACTCCAGGTGCTCTGGGCAGTCGATGGCTATTCTGAACCTGTCAAACCACACGCTGGAGAGTCTTCCTTTCATAGCGGTATAGGGTCTAGTTAAAAAAAAGAAAGAAAGAAAGAAAAGGAGAGTAATATTAAAGCAGATGTTTTCATCTCTAAAACGTTAGTGTTCTGAGTACATAATTTAAATTTTCTCCAAGTTCTGTGAATTAAACATTTCGTATTAAAAGCATCGCCACGCACATGGCGCTGACGCACCCGTGTGTGCAGCAACATTTACTAATTGCAGTACATCTTCATACTCCCCATCTCCTAAAATTCGTAAGTTCTCCAGAAAATCCTCACAAAAGTGGAGTTTTATATAGATATGTGTGTATATATTTTTTCTGCCCAATTCTTAAAAAAATGATGAAACATGTCTATTTTCTAAAAATTTCTTTGATTTCATTCTTTTTTCCTTTAATGTAAGAACCAATTATTTTAGTATTCACAGCTAACTGAATAATAATGTTTGTCCATGCAAAAAACTCAGTACTTCGAGAGTGGAGAAACAGTTCACCAACATGCTTTTAAGAGTCAGTTAATTTGTAGCACTCAGGTATGAAAGGCAAGCTAACAATTTAAGGGTATTCAGAGAGATCCTCCAAAGAATGGGATTGGCTCGGTTCTTTGTTTTTTGTTTCTAAATTGAGTGGGAACTCTTTTGGATCTACACAGGAACCTGGGAATGAGAAAGTCTAATGGGACACAGGCAACCCTGAACGCACTCGGCACACAGATGCCCTGTACTGCTCGCATCGTGAGGGCCTTAGGCTGGGTGCTTTGTTGGACGTACATTTTATGTGATCAGATGCTTGAATCGGGTGTCTAGTCAAACAAGGTGAATCTTGCAGGATCCTTTACTTTCTGTAGAGGTGGGGTGGCTATGCTCTTAGTGGATCTCACCCCGCTCACTGGACACTCGCACTCTGCAGTGCTCCCTTAGAGTGCCGAGGGCACCCAACGTGATCTGAAAGGGATGCAAACCTCTGATGACCAGAGGCAGTGCTCCTCCTTCCATCTACTCGGCCCCACAGTGGAGCTGTCCACTGTCACCCTCCGAAGTCACTGGAGGGCCGGGAGACTCCAGTTGAGACCTGCCAGTGAAAAATCCAGGGGAACCTCAGCAGACCCAAAGAGATGGAAATGTTCATTTCTCCTTTTACCCACTCCACCGAAAGGGCCCCCAGTCTGTGCAGACCTGCCCTCGGTCAGGACCCAGGGGTGGGACGGAGGCGAGCGGGAGAGCTCCACTGTGGTCCTTCTGCATCCAGGGGAGCAGCCAGGAAATCGAGAGGAAGACATTTGGAAAGTGTCTCAGGCAAAATGAAGGAAGTCTGGAAACAAGAACTCATCCACATAGGATCTTTTGTTTGTTTACTAAAGTAGAAACATGTTATAAACATTACTTTGCAACAGGCTTTCTAAAATTTGAATGTGTTATTTCGAATATCCCTATAAGGCAGTACGTAAAAACCTAACGTTTCTCCTAGTTTATGAAGATACAGATTTATATGTGTGTGTGTGTTGTTTTGATATTTTCTCATAAATTTTATTTACTTTTTGCGCCATTCCTCCTCTCCACTCTCACTCCCCCACATTACCCTTCACACCACTTAAACCATTTTTATGATCTAAAATATATCCTTGAATGTTTTCTATGTACATTAAAACATGCATCTTTTTAAAAATATTTTATCTTCAGAGGGGAAGGGAAGGACAGAGGGAGAGAAATATCAATGTATGGTTGCCTCTCGTGCATCCCCTGCTGGGAACTGGCCTGCCACCCAGGTATGTGCCCTGACTGGGAACCAAACCTCAATCCTCTGGGTCGCAGGCCCACACTCAATCCACTGAGCTATACCAGCCAGGGCTAAAACATGCATCTTTACAGGACATTTTTTAGAGCACTACTACTTTTCAAAAGTTACAACTAGCCTATATGCTTTTCTTATGCACCTTTTCTCTTTTAATGAAGCCCTCCTGGAAACCCTTGTCCCTGACACAGTTCCCGCCGATCCTTTGAATGGCTATGTAACACCTTACGACAAAGACGGCCCAGGTTTAGAAAGCAGTTCCCTTACGAATGGGCATTGGCTTGGTCCTCAGGTTTCAGCCACTGAGAATGCTGCATTATACACATTTGTACGTGCTTTTACATACTGGAACCTTTAGGCCTAGGAAGGAGTCCAAAAATAGGACTGCTGGGTTGAAAGGTGTAATTTTTACCTTAAAAGATGTCTTACTGTGCCTTCCTTAAAGACTATAAAAATTAACCTTTCAACAAGAAAAGGGCAAGATATTCTTTTGCCCAGAGCACTGCTACCAATCATTGCTGAACACTCAGTACGGGATGGGCAGGTGCACTGGTAAATCACCCATCACGAAATGGGCAAACGCTTTGAAAGTGGCTTCAGAAACAATTCACTGAAGCCAAACACAGGCTCTCACAACAGCACCAGGTGGAGCACTGATACAGATGGGTTCCTAGAACACTCACTTAGCAGGGGAAGCCTGCACCACAAGGGGCCTATCCTCCAGAACATAATTCTGGGTTTTTTTCGGGTTCCCCTTTGTACGTGTGATGAATGGACTTCTCTCCAACGCATCTAGAATGGTGCTAGTTCTATATTATTCTTGGGAAAATAAGAAAAATAGTATTCAAATCATTTGTGTTTTGGGATTCAGGTGAAAAACACGAGTTGAGAAGGCTTTATTTTTGTTGTTCTACTGATCTACCCACCCACACTGTGTGAGGTCACACTGACGTTGAGTCAGTTGGATCCCCTCTCCCTACCCTCACCTCCACCAGGCTCTTCCTTGGCTGTGTCCTGCCTATTCTCAGGAATCCGTTCTTCTTTTCTTATCTAAGAAATCATCAAATATTTAGTGGATTTTAAAATAATTCCAAATAATTGGAACTATTTGGACTAGCACTTGAACTAGCACGCAGCTTTGTCTGGGAGTTGGCGCCAGAGGACACAGCTCTGACGGGCAGAGGTGCGGACAGCCCTCCCCAGGCCCCGCCGCCTTGTGATCCCCACCGAAGGCCCCTCCAGCACGGCTCTCGTGGGCCCGGAAGATAAAGCCCTGTGCCAGCTCTTTCCTGGGACTCCGGGGGCCTAAACGCTCTCATTCCTGCAGGCCTTCTGATCTCAGAAGCCACTTCACTCAGGGGTAAATAAACTGGAATCAGGAGAGAGAAGGCCGCATTTCAAGCCTCCTACATCCCAGAATCCCTTTTTCAGGATCAACTTTCTTCAAGTACCCGCAATAAGACAGCAGGTACTTTCCTCCTGGTATTAATGTCCCTGTCAGACAAAATGAAATTCCAAACTGTGCTCCATTCATCACAAAACCATAGTGACCTTCTGAATGAGAACTGAATATACCACTCAATTTGAAGCTGACTTCCACGGTTACTCACCTATTTCTCCTTCCCATCGTTTTATTCTGCTCTTTCTCCAAGTGTTTATTTGTCTGTCTAAGCACTTACATAAGGATGATATCATAGGCTAAGATATGAATCATTCTGGGAACTCAGCCATTAATTGAGAAAAATGACATTCACTCTCCTTTCCATCCTGACAGTACCTTACTCACTGAGAGATAGATGCTCCACTGAGGTGTAATCCTGGTGTCAGCTTTCCTAACACAGTTGCTTTTTGTTCTAATATCTAAGAAAATTAAAGTTCTGTTCTGAAAAGGTAATTGGGAAAATTTAATGACACAAGGAATAATTTAGAACTTTTCTGTTCTGAAAACATGATCTCTTAAGATGTTAGCCTAACCTTTAACTAAAGTGTAAAAGTAAGATAGCCTTAAAAACAGCTAACAAACTGGGGCATATGTTATACTCATTTACCTTCTTTCTCAAATAAATCACTTTATTAGCTGGTATAAAAGAACCCAGACATGACCACGATAAATAAATATGTCAGGCAAAGAACATCTGTGTGGCTCCTAAATCAATCAATCAATCATTCAAATCACTGCACACTGGTGAAGTTTTAAGCTGAAATGAAATGCCCAAGATTAAAAAAGAGAGAGTTGACATTCAGCCAGACACCAAGTTCTGTTCTGATCTATGTTCCCTGAAAGTCAGAAAATCGAAGGTCACGCCTAACCCTTACGGTAATGTCACCTGCTGTCTTCCCCTTTGACCTTGTTTGGTGGTGCTTGCTCAGGACTCACATCCCTCCTGCTTTCCAACAGGACAAGCACCTTCCTGATCCAGGGGCTCTGCACCTGACAACCCCCAGCCACATTCCTGCACGGACAGCTCCCAGGATCTCACTGTCTCAAGTGTCACTTCCCCAGGGGACCGTTCCTTGAGGCTACAACTTGAAGCCTCCCTTCCTCCCACCCTGGGATGCACACAGTCTCCCTGCACCCTTTTACTACTTAACTGGACAGAATCTGTCACTAGTTCAAGTTAACACACAATTTCTTTTTTCCCATTTCTGCGTGAGAGCGCAGACTTCCTTCCCTACAGGGACACCCCAGGGTCAGAAACAAGTGCTTCCCGAAGGACAGGCCGGTCCCCAGGTGTCACCTGGGTGATGTGTGTCAGCCCAAAATGAGAATATCTAAAATTGTTTTTAGGCTTTAATTCTTCTAGAATCCACATGGTGATTTCTAGGAAAAGGTCAAATTTCTCTTTCGTTGCCTTTTCAAAAAAGAACATTCCTAGGAAAACAAGTTTTTATATACTAATGGGTATTTAAATGTCCACTTAAATGCTCACCAAACGAGTAGGACTACTACAAGACAGCTGTTCTCAGCAGTAAAGTGTCCTTGTGCTACAGATCTGCTGGTGTGGGGAAATAGGTCCTCATAATGTGCTTTGGAGGGAAACCTTACATGACAGACTCAATATGAATTCATTGTTTGCTACACCTAAATCAAAGTGTCTAATTTGGGGGGGGATTTAATGAAAAATATAAACACGTACTTCAGGTGAAAAAATAGTGAATAAAAAAGTAGAGGCACTATGCAAATCTTAATTACCTTTGGAATTTCTCAAAACACCAAGAGAAACTATATACCATCATATAAATTATTAATGGCTTGTTATTATTTTTAAAATGGAAATTCTAATAGTAAACCCAAACCAAGAAAACTTCTAATTACAAATACAATTAAAGTATGTCATAGAAATGAAACCATTTACTGAGCACGTCAGTTAGAGTCCAAATTAACATAATGAAAAAAATGAAGCAATATTTTCCATTTAAATCAACGCAGCAAGCTAACTGCTGACTTTTGCTTACTATGCCCCCAACTGAGCTGATTAAAAATACCTAGTAAATAAGGTTGAGGTAAAGGAATACCTTATAGCCCAAATGGCAATTTACAGTCTAATCAAAACGTACAGATACCCTGTAACAGACCACAACTGGGCGGGCCTAACAGACCAGTGTTCTCCTCTAACATTCTTTCCAGTAGGTGTGACTTGACAGCAAAAGTCGTAACCTTGTTTGCAATTTTAATGTTTGTAGATAATGTAGAGGGCAAGTTTAACATAAAGAAGGGAGGATGAAGAATCCTGTATGGCTATAAGGTTTCTACATTTTGTAGTGAAGTGGTAAAAAACAAAGAAACTAGATAAAAGTTAGAGAGAGAGGTGTGTGTGTGTGTATATATATATATATATATACACACACACACATATATATGATATATATAAGACATGTATATGATGTATATAAGATGTATATACACAACACACACACACACACATATATCTTATAATCCCTAAAGCAATCAGGAATAAAATAATAAATAAAAAATGGAGTGTTAAAAAATTCAAATAATCCCCCCCAAAAATGGAAAGAGAAAAGAGAAAAAAAGTAGACAAATTCAAACATATCAAGTTACATTAAATGCAAATGTTCTAAACAAATCAGTTAAAAGAAAGGGACCGTTAGACTGGTTAAAGGGGAAAAAAAGCCCAAATATGCGTTGTCTTTAAGAATCCCATTTGAAATATGATATAAATAGGCTAAAAGTAAAAAGGTGGAAAAATACATACTAAGTAGTGCTCGTCAAAGAAAGCAAAGGATGAAAAGAGATGCTACATAAAGAGTGACGTCGGAAAGCAGACGTACACGGTCTTGTTATCGAACAAGTACATGTCCTGGTATGACCACCACAGACAGGATGACCGTTCCACGAGATGAAAGTAGCCATTAACGAGGAAGACCGATGATCCCACACAGGCACGCACCTCACGATGTCACTTAAAAACATGGGCAGAGAAGACTGACAGGAATGAGGGAGGAAACAGATGAACCTAGAACCACAGTTTGAGATTTCAATGCTCACTCGTCAAGACCTAACAGAACAACTTATAAAAAGAATGACTATGCAAATGTGAAATTTGAGCAATAGCATAACTGCCTGCGACTACTGACAGTTGCAGAATTCCATACCCAAAAATGCTCATGGTGTGGTCACAAAGAGACCACATCCAAGATCACAACACGTCAGTGTCAGCATCAAAAGACTGAAAGGGGACAGAGTGTCCCCTCTGACAATGGACAGATGCAAGATGAATAAGACTCACAATCTTCAGTCAACAGACATGTGGTTTGTATTTAAAAATGAAAATATTTTGGCTCCTAATGATCAGCTACATATTCTGTGAAGTTTCTAATTACTCTGCGCATCTCCAACATCAGAAATCCAAGCTTGGCAATGTCTGCCCTTCTTGTAAAACAAAAGAAAGATACTTTCATAGTAATGTTAAAGTACATTTCCTAATGATAAAATATTAAACCAGTCTTGCTTATGATACTGTTCATAAAAGCGCTCCAACATTTAGGAACCCCTCCGTCGAAAGTTCTGCGGCCACTGGCAGCCTTTGATCGATGACAGTTGGCTTCCAAAATGGAAAAGGACCATGAAACACAGCAAAGCCACGGTGTGTACAAGCTGCCGAACATCTCACAGGGAATAATTCTGCTAGGTCAGTGCAGGGTGCTGGGGTTTCTATTTGAAAGCATATTTTACAGACTTACTTAATGTGTATGTTAATAGCAAACTAACTGGCATTATTATCCTTAATTACATGTTTTATTTCGCTGTTTTATGTGACGGGGCCTGACCAGGGATAGAGGCCTAAAATGTAACATCAGACAATATAGATCCTATTTATAGTACAAAAACACATATACACTCTTTCTGAATATTTTTGAAAAGCTCTTGAATTCCAGAATAGGAAATTACAAATTATACTGAATTGTGAGGTCTTTATGTCTTCATTTTAGGAATCTTAGAACCGGTGAAAACAGGAAAGCAAAACTTTACAACTCCATGCTCACAAGAGTGAATTTGAGACTAGAAAGGCTTTTGAAGGGAAATGGAAGTTTGCTTTTAACGTTTCTGACCTAGAGTAATTAAGTCTAAAAATAAAGGAAGCCCAGTGCATAAAGACCCGTTCTTAGGTGCAGTCTGACTTCTTTTTGTATTGATTCAAAGACAATAATGCCTTTCATACTTTAATCACCTTAGATATTTGTTTTTCGAAAATGTAAACAGCTGACCACACTGCAACATTTTTTTTTCCTGAGGAGAAACAAGACACTAATCGCACGTGTGGGATAAAGGTGTAATTTAACGCAGGGTTTCCCCAGCGAGGCACGGAGACTGGGGCTGGACAGTTGTTTGTGGAGGGCCCCGTCCAGCCACGTGGATGTCGGCTGCCTGGAGCCTTTTGTGCTGCCCTTCCTCTCAGTTGTGACAATAAAAAATGTCTCCCAACGTGGCCAGATGTTCTCTGAGGACCATCATCTCTGCCTGAGAGTGAATGACTTAAATCATTTTATTAAAAAAAAAATCTTACATTTCAGAAACTGTTTCTCATGAGAAATTTAAGTAAGAATGATATGATCTACTGCAGGGGCTCCCAACATACTATCATGGGAACTCCTCTTTCAGGCTTAAAACTGTGCTGGTTCTAGCCACATACAGCTAGAGAGAAAAAATATAGCTAGTGCAACTGAAGAACTAAACTTTTAATTTATTAATTAATTAGCATTCAAATTCTCATGTGCTATACATGTAAAATACACATCAGATTTCAAAGATCTGGAATGAACAAAAGAACATAAAATAGCGCTTTAATAAGTTTATATTGATTACATGTTGAAGTGATTATATTTTGGATTTAATGGGTTAAATAAAATATATTATTCAAGTTAATGTCACCTGTTTCTTTTTCTTTTTTTAATGTGGTGTCAAGAACATTTAAATTTGCTTATGTAGCTCATATTACTTTTCATGCGTTAGCAAGGTCTAAAATATTTGATGATATGTCCAAAAAGCTGTTGACTAGGAAAATGTATAATATCAAAGAGTTATTATGAAATATTAGTAACCAGTATTAGTCCGGTGAAATATTTCAATGATTTATTTTACTAAGTCACAACAGCACCCACAAATAATATTGTACTTGGTGTGCACGGAGAATTCCGAGCTCTCCTAAGTATCCCTGGCCTCCAGTTCGACATGCACTGGTCTGGAGTTCCTTTCACTTTGGCGATGACATGAAATTAACCAGCTCAAAAATACCAATTCCCAGAATTGTATCTCCAGTGCTCTCCCATTCAGTGTCATCCTACAATCACATCGGCATTCAGGCTGAAGTGGGCTTGTCCTTCCCGACTTCACTGCCCCAAAATCCACAGCAAAGAACAAGCTCTCCCACCACTTTCAAAGACAGGCACCCTTCAGCACAAATGTAACCCATTGGTCCTTGGCTCTCTTCACCATACTATCAAACTACTACACTCCTCTAGAATTATATTAAAGTAAGAACGTTTTTGAATCTTAAATCTTACAATGAAAGTATCGTTTTATTCTCCCTCTTTCAAGTCTATCGACTGAGGTAAGTAAAAGTAGTGCATATAAAAAGGTCCTTGAAGATCTGTCTACCTCTCCTTAATACTAAGTTAATAAGAAATTAAGCAAAGCATTTGCATAAGCATATAGTATGTTTATAAGAACAGATGAACAGATCATGGAAATGAACAGATCATGGAAAATCAAATTGGGCAGCACAGCTCAGCACACATTATTTTGCACATGCGCACACACACACAGAATTTGGAAGCCCCACTTCAGAGCATGTGTTTAGAATAAAAAAGACTATGCAGATGCTAACTTAATAACTATAAAAAGCACTTTGACTTTAAAACTATACTAATGTCATGATTGGGCATTTTCTTATATACATAGGTTGTCTAATCAAAATATTTATTAACTGGCAAATCCCATATTCCTAAAAGCTTATCAATATTATTTCTAAAACCTTTTAAGTGTTGAAAGAATGCCACAAAACCCTTTTCCAGAGCTTAGAACTCTGGCTGAACTAAATTATTAGAAAGATTATGCTTGGTAAAGTCACCAGTTTCTCTTTGGGATGCAGGAGGGGAAGAAGGGAGCTTGGAAAGTGAGCAATCTGTGGGGCTAGGGGGGTAAGTCCCACAGGCCATGCATGGGGCAAAGGTTAAGAGTTTTGGGGAATGTTGTACCAAGTGGAAGAAAATTCCTCACCTGGCAAAACTCGGCCCCATAGTGTAATTGCAAGAAAAAAAAGTTGGGGGTCAAAACGGCCCCAGTTTAAAATATTTTAAATACAGAATTAAGCTTAAAGAACATCTAGCTGGTACATCTATTTATATATTTTATATCAAAGAGTTATCCTGAGCATTGAGATCAATTACTACTTACCTGGGAGGAGCTGTTGGATAAATGATTTTTATGTGCTGGAATGTTAAATCTTGACTTAAAACCTGCTTGATCCACCTTCTCAATCCTTGTCCGGAATCACCTGATGAATCACAAGATCTAGATTAACATAAAGCATTTTGACAATACAATGTAGTTAAGAGCAGTCTATAAATTTCATGTCATACAGAGGACGGAACAAGGAATAAAAAAAAAAACTCTCCATACTTAAAAATAACTGCACAGAAACTAATTTATCAGTATGAACTGACCGGGAACCAAGAGGGAGAAATAATTTTGATGATTTTACTCCTAACTTCACCCTTGATCATTTTAAAGACCTTGTTTGTTTAAAGGAACAAATAAATGAAGTAAATCATTTTTTCTAAGTAAAAATTCTATTTCTTTTCTGATTTTAAAGTTATTTCTTTTTACTCTTAGAAATAGTAAATTCCTAAAGTGCTTATACACTTTTGCAGTTGGAATAGCCTAAAACAATTTTCTTGGTAAAAACAAGAAAATCCTTGAAAAGGGATATTGAGAATGCATTTATTTATCTTTAACCTAAATATATTAGCATTTAATTTTGATAACATGTTTCCATGACCTCAAATAACAAAATATCACCCAAATTCCTGCAAGAATTAGTGCAGGTGTATTTCCATAAAAAAAATGGAAGGAAATATAGGTCCATCTTATGTTGTCCTGAAGAGGAAATGTGGAAGGTAACAAACTTTAATTTTTTAAGCAATCAATTAAAAAAATATGGATGGTATAACTGTGAATGCATCAGGCACTTTGCTCACTGCCCGAGAGGCGGGGATGGGGGGTGAGGGGCAAAGGGACCCCTACGCTTGCGGAGGACACAGTTTAGTGAGAGAAACAGTCAGTTGGTGAATTGTATGCATGTATGTGAAAGACAAATGTAACCAGTGCAAAGATGAGACACCTCTTGCTGCTGGGGTCTGTGGATTCAGAAGTGACCCAGTCAAATTCAGGGCAAAGTTCACTGGAAGAAAAGCTCTACAAGGCAAGGTTCATTTTGTGCTTTATCCATTGAGTTTTTTGCTCATTTAATGCCTGGGCGTCCAACAGATAGCTGCTGAATGGTCTGCACTTGAATCTCCAGGAAGTAAGTACAGAAGGAAAGAGCATCTCAGATACAGCATAAGGCAAATGCTAAGACCCTTTACAGGAAGGGGCAGGAGACATCTAAGACCTGGAAAGCAGAAAGTGAAAGAGCAGTGAGTGCAAGATGAGGCTAGATGCTCTTTTAAAAGTAACTGCAATAAAGAGTTTGGCTAGCCTTTGTCCCCAGTCCCAAAGAGGTAACTTCCAAACCCTTAGAATTTCCTGAGTGATTAGAGTATCTTTGTCATTCCTGGCAGGGCCGCAAACCACAGGACAGTCTCTACCCAGGAGATGACTCAGGGTGGGAGCTGGTCAGCCGGGAAGACCAACCATGGGATTAGAAGTTTGGGGCTTTGAACCACATATCAGTCTGACCTCCAGGGAATAGAGGAGGCTGGGGGTTAGAGTTTGACCCCAAATCAATCATATCTGTGCAGCAAAACCCAAATAAAAACCCTGCATAAAAAGCTCAGGTGAAATTCCTTTGGTGACAGTACCCTTCTGAGTCCTGTCATACCTCTATGCTGGGGGGTCATTCATCACTGAGGATGACAGAAGACTCAAGTTTAGAACCCTCCTGGGCTTTTCCCTCTGTATCTCTTTGGGCTGGTTCTAATTTGTACCCTTATGCCATAATAAAATTGTCATAGGGGAAAATGAGGCTAGAGAGACTGCAGGGACCTGACAAATGCTGAGAGCACCGACATGCTACAGAGATATTTTTGTGGCAGGAAGGTGGCTTGCTTTTAAGGACCACACTGGAGACCATGTGAAGACAGAACTGAAGGACAAAAGTAGACATGGGAGATCAGTTAGAAGGCTACTGCTCAGGTGGCGGATCTTTAGCCTAGGGTAACTGCAGGGGAGTACACAGAAATTGGTACTAGAGATACTTAGGAGCTAAAATGAACAGAAATGGCAACAGATTAGTTATGAGATCAGCGGTGAAAGGTCTGTATCCACACACAAACGGACAACTGTTTCAGAGATACACAGTTACAGGTTTTTACAATGTCATAACTGGAAGTTGAAAAGAGAGAGAATAGTTAATTTAAGCAAAGTGGTCTAGGAAAAAAAAACGTTTAGAGGTATTCCCTGAAGATACTGTAAAATAATTGATAAAAGGAGTGTGATGCTGAGGAATTTCTGAGTGCTTACAAGTAAACACCCTTAGCACTCTGAATAGTAACAGTCGCCTTGTGTAAAGCTTTGCGATGACCCTAAGACGCCTCACCTTCTAAATATACTTCATTGGTTCAGTCTTTCTCTTTAAACACTGTTGGTCCTTTTCAATTTCCATACATCCTAGTTCAGTTTGGTTTTGTTTTGTTTTGACCTTACCCCATCCAGAGCAATGACTGGGGACCCAAAAAGCTTTGGTTCAAGTCCCAATTCCATCACTACTTACAAGCAATAACCAAGTGGCCTCCAGCAAGCCACTCACCCTTTCAGGACTCATTTCCAAATTGACAAAACTAGGCACAATTACCCATTTCCAGGTCTCCACCCTGCACCTCTGGAATCCCCTCCACGCCCCAACCACCATCATCTTGAAGCATAGGCAAGTCTCAGCTTCAGGACCACTTGCTCTGGCAAATCTAAGCTCTTCATCTTCCAAAGGCCTTAATAAAACCTAACCACCGCTTTCCCCTCAAAGTCTTCTTGGTGGTGTATCAGTCGCCATCTTGGGATCTCCCCTCCACTGCTGACATCAAGTAATTGAATTTTTTGTTTTTAATTTTAGGTAGGCCCCCTGAGCCTGCATCTCATTTCTTAAAAAAACAAAAAAAAAACCAAAACAAAACAACCCACTTCCCAGGAACTTACCCTGGGCCCAGCACTAGGGATGCAAAGATTAAAACAAGGGGCCTTACTCCTAAGGAGCCCAAGATCCAGTGGAGAAGACAGACATAAGAAATTACGGATCAGTTTCAGAAACGCTGTACTGAATCAAGCACATGTTACCAAGGGCAGGTGGACTTGACTTTGCGCTGTATCTTCAGGTGCTTAGTGACAGGAGAGGGAAAGGGGGAAAAAGGAAGGAGCAGCAGGAAAGAGATAATGAAAATAATTTTACTGTGAATCTCAATTGCCTGTATCACTTCGGCAGACTGGAGAAATGATTAAGTAATCCGCTGCAGCTGAAAACTCAAATCACTAACAGCTGGCCCTGAAAAGTAACTTATTTGTCTCTACTAGAGGACTTACCTTACTAACTCGCTGTGTTTAAACTGGGGCGGGGGGGGGGGGGTAGACGAATGGGGGGAATAGCAAGGTGGCACATAGACAATGTTGTGGATGGAAGGCTGGACGCACAGACCGGAAGCGAGAGCGGTGGGCCAGTGACTGCACCACAGAAGGCAAAGGGGGACCGCTGGGGACAGGTGGCCATGCTGCCCGTGTGTCCACAGCCGCCAGGTCTAGCTGGAGGGGACAGGACTGCCACCGGCTCCGGGCCCCCGGGGCCCTACTGGGGTTAGGGGCCCGGAGCCTCCTCCAGTGGGGGCAACACTGGAGGACAGCGGGGAGGGTGTTTCCCGAGGTGCAGAAAACAAGGACGTAAAACTGTGATCCACCTGAGCCGTGCAGGAAAATCAGAGAGGCGCTGTGCCTCCCCGCCGGCGACACCACACACCGCTGCAGCGGAACCAGCGCGGACGCAGCCGCCATAGTTGCTGTCACGCCCGGAGTTCTAAGGGCCACGCCCCGAGTTTTGAGGGCCCGGCTTCTCCGCCCTCCGGCGTGCCCGCGCACGTACGCACGCGCACGCAAGGTGGGGCGCGCTTGAAAACGCGCATGCGCGGAGGGGCAGGTTCTGCTGCCTCTGGGTCAACTTTGAAGCATGCAGATCTGTGGATGCTGCGGGTTAGTTTTTGCTAAGAATGGTGTTATACAAGTGACAAGTTCGGTAAGGGCAAGGAATATATTTGTTTTTTTTTTTCTGTAGGGATTTTTAACTGCAATCCTAAAGTCAGGGTTATTTTTTTGTTTGGAAAAATAATCGTTGGTGTCAATATGTTTAAAATTTAAGGGGTATCACCATATATATTACCTTCACTTTGGGGCTTGAACAAGATGTAACTTTTTATATTCAGGATGCAATTGCCATATTATAATAACTCTGTATAGTTTTTAAAACCAGTTTAGAAAGCAAATCCAATTTAAAGAGGTACCACTTTACACCATTAAGATGACTGTTACTGAAAAAAATGAACAATAAATGCAGGCCATAAAGGGGAAGGCTTGGAAGCAACCCTGTGCATTGTTGATGGGACCGTGAATGGTGTAGCAGCTATGAAAGTAGTTTGGCAGCTCCTCACCAAGTTAAACAGAATCACCATATGATCTAATCATCCTGCCTGTGGATGTAAATGCAAAAACTCAAAAGCAAGGACCCAAACATGTATTTGTACACCGGTGTGGACAGCAGCATTCATCACAACAGCCGACCCAAATGTCCATCCACAGATTAATGGAAAACAAATGTTCTACAGACACACAATGGAATATTCAGCCTTAAAAAGGAATGAAATTTTCCTACATGCTACAGCATAGATGACCCTTGAACACATTATGCTAAGTGAAGTAAGCCAGTCACGGAAGGACGAATATGGTATGATCCCACATATATGAGGTAGCCAGCACAGGCACATTTATAAAAGACTGGAAGTGGGGTAGCCATTACCAAGGGCAGAGGGGAGGAAAGAATGGGGAGGTATTCTTTAATGGCTGTAGTCGCTGAACTGCATACTTAAAAATGGTCCAAATGACTAATTTTATATCATGTATATACTATCATAATTAAAAAAGCACCCTCTTCTCCCAAAATGGCATTACTTTCTGTATAAAGATCTAACTATAGACATCGTTCAACACTGAATGACTCTTTCCTTACATGAAATTCGGCAACAGCCCGGTAGAACGTTAAGTGCTATTACACACCTGACTTCCATTCACTTGTAGTCTGCCTCATGTTTAAGCAATTACAACGTATCGTTTTTGTTAAAGGTAGTCGCCCTACTCACAAGGGACTACACTGCTTATCCTCATGGGTGGGTTGCCCGGATAAGCACTAGGCTATCACACTGTGACACTCACTGGTGCTGCGGTTGTGAGTGGCCCCCACCTGCCATTAGTTAACCAGGTCACGAAGGAGCTCTTGTCCTTTCACCAAAACCTGTAGGTCTTGGGCTGAGAGTGAAGTAAGGAGGACCAGCTGGGGTGGGTTGAGCTCTGATGACCAATTCTCAGAAAAATACTTCTATCTCCAGACCTGCCTTCCCCACGTGGATCTCAGTAACTTTCAAGAGCCAGGTGAGAAGAAGGCAGCGCTGTACTCGGAGAGGCCCCACGGAGATATGGCAGGTAAGGCTTTAAGTTCTACTCGTAGAACTCTATTTACTGCTGAAAACCATTGCTGTGCATGAGTACACGCTTTTGAGACAGCAAAAAGCCAGAAACAGTGATTTAACTGTTTCATAACAGTTATCATTATGATGGTTGCTGATAATAATAGGTAACTGATATTCATTGGACTTTCTGGGTGGTAAGCACCGTCTTAATTAAATTCCCATAAAACTCTGGAGCATTACTATCTGTTTTTGCCTGGGAGGCTCAGAGAGGTAAAGAACTGGACTCAGGGTTGCCCTGCCAGTCATTTGTGGGGTCTGCACTCATATGGAGGACCTACCTGACTCCAGAGTTCAGGTCCTTCATCGTGACCCACATCTACACATCAGCTCACAAAAATAAGACAAGATGTGTCCCAACTATTTTGTTTACAAACAAAAACAAAGCACATCTTCTGGGATTTGAACTGTAGCCCTTCAGAATCTCTGTTGATAGGAGTTCCGGTGTTTCTTCAGATGTTCCCAATTCTCTTGCTAGTTTTCCCCTCCAAGAAAGTGAGCACCCGTTTGAGGAGTACCTGAACGCTGGGATTCTTGAGTTTTCACCTAGGACTTGAGCCTGCCCAGATTCAGGGTCATTATTAGAATCAGCCAGATTCTTCCAAACCTAATCAAAGTGCTCTTTTATTTCCAGTGATTTAAATGCTTAGCTATTGTTGCTATTCCTTTCATCTTTATTTATAGAACAAACAGAAGGTTTTAGATGACTATATTTAGAAATGCCATCTGGTAGGCAAACTATTGAACAAAAATGTTTTGTTCCTTTCATGTGACTGCATTACTTTGAAATGTAATTAAGTTTCAGGATGGTTATTTGCTTCTTTTATGGTGGATCTCTTGCCCTATTGAACTTGGGGGAACATTATTCCTAAAAGGTTTTTATTGGTACATTCTTTTATTCTTTGTGTATCTTTTAATTTTTGTTGTTCCTCATTTGCTTTCAGCTAGTCTGTATGTATGCCCAGTATGGATACGCTCCTTTTTGGTAACTTCAATGTCTGGACTGAAAGAATCAAGTAAATGAAATAAATACAACAAAGAAAAAAGTCTCTCTTTTTGCAGGGGTCCAATATCTATTACGATCTAACTATATAAATGTCAGGGTCAGAGGTCAGAGTTAAGTTTACTGTTCCACAATGTGTTTAGAAATCCTTTAGCGTACACTTGTTGGCTTAAAAAAAGGTTGGAAGATTAGCCATTTAAAGTAGTATATTAGGTATTTTCAAATGCTTACAGTTAAATGAAGTCACATTAGTCATGCAGACATTGCACATTATACATTTGTTGTTCTACTCACTTTTGAGCATCAAGTGATACCTTCTCCATTGGTTGGTTTTATCTGTGACATTATTCAAAGGGACGGAGAAACTTAGGTACATAAACAACACATACACATTGGGCAAATGTCTCAGCATTGGGTAACATATGAGGTTTTGTAAATGAACAATGTAAGCTTCTTTAGACATTCCCCTTATGCATTTGTGAAAAATAACTAGAAAAAAACGTAAAGGCTAGAGTTGTAATAAAACAGAACTAAACTCTATAGAAAGGAACTGTGAGGTGAGATCATAGGCCTCAGTTCTAGGGATATTAAGCGTTTTCCTGTTCTGGGCCCAAATGTCCTTCACGCCTGCTGTTACGGCAAGCAGGGCCACACCCCACACAGCGTTTGCACATTGGACCTCACTGGGCTGTTTGTTTCCACTCCCCACCCTCCTACTGTGGGTCTGAAAACAACCGACCGAAACAGAGAGCTTTAATTTCATGCTGCCGCTATGCTATGTCCTTCGAAAGCATTCTCTTACTTGAAGGCAGACTGCAGGGTGTGTGTGTGTTTGGGTAAAGAGAATATTCACTTAATTTTTCGCCCATTTCCCCCACTGGTTTATATTTACATGGCCATGACAGAATGCCTAATAGACAGTATTCAAAAATATCACTAACTACAGCTGTGTCAATAGGAAAAGGACAAGGAATGAACAGGCCATCTACTGAATAATTTACATTTTTAAAAAGACACATGAAACATCAGCTTTTGGAACTGTGGTTGACAATCTCAACTTCTTGTTTCAATTTGCACCAGTGATAGTCTTTGAAAAACCGTTTATCTGTGTAATATATTTCTCTCCTCTAACAAGTTGTATATTCTTCTTGCTAACATTGAAGTCTAAATGGAAAAACAATAACAATATTTTGTTTATGAAGACAAGTGGGTTGACTGTAATAAAAATATTGGTTCATGTCTGGCTTCTCAGTGAAAAATGCCACCCATGAAGTCTGTTGGCACTTGAAATATAATTTTAGGAAAGCCAGAAAAAGTACATATTTTACTTGCAAAACTATGAATTATTTATTTTTCTTAACAAAAAATGTAAAATGCATCAATATTCAACTTAGGCTGAAAATGAGTTAATGGTAATTTTTATCTAAACTATGGAAAACATCAAAAGTCTTTGCAATATCTTAACATAGACTCTAAGAATGTATATCCTTTTCTACCCAGCACAGACATAAAATTAAAAATCTAAAAAATCAAAGCATTAAAAAATAAATAGGAATCTGCTTTTATCAAGTTATTTTTAAAAATATTTTTTTTATTTATTTTTCGAGAGAGGGGAAGGGAAAGAGAAAGAGTGGGAGAGAAACATCAATGTATGGTTGCCTCTCATGCATCCCCTGCTGGGATCTGGCCTGCAACCCAGGCATGTGCTCTGACTGGGAATTGAACCTCGATACTCTGGTTCTCAGGCCCGCGCTCAATCCACTGAGCTATGCCAGCCAGGGCTTATCAAGTTATTTTTTAGAGAGCAGATCCACATATGTTATGTGGATTTAAATCTTCCTCTTCCCCATAAGGAATATCCTGTTTATATAGGTTTTTTACATTGCATGGGTTGACTTGATAGATAAAAAAGTGTTCCATGGTTATTAAAATCATGGAGTATACTAACAGTTTCTCTCTCTGGCCACTCTTATCAGTGAATAGTTCTGCTCAGTCACACGGTTAGCATCTGGGAGCCACTTGGCGTGATAGCTACCGCTAGCTTGTTGCTTATTCAGGGAAGACACGTTGACCTGGAGGTGGAGAAGGCAGATCCCATGTACCTCCGATGCGCACACACATTCTCTCTCTCTCTCTCTCTCTCCCTCTCTCTCTCCCTCTCTCCCTCTCTCTCTCTCTCTCTCTCTCTCTCTCCCTCTCTCTCTCTCTCTCTCTCTCTCTCTCTCTCTCATATCTCCTCCTTGTCTGTAAGCCACTCTTTAGTCTGGTGAAA